ATTTTTGAAAAAGTAAGAATTTGGTGGTAATTATAACGAGATAGGATTTGAAAATGAACAAAAACACCCTTTTAGGTTTGTTAATTTACTAAACACCTCGGTAATAAAAATATTAAAAATTACAAAAACACCCCCACCCACCCATTAAATACCGGCAATCGGCCACCACCGTCGAAGGGTGGCCGGAGTCGCCATATGAATGCAAGACTTGCTAGATCTGGTCTTCCGTGCCCTGAGATAGCTTTTTCCAGCCAGATCTACTGTGGATCTGGTCGGAAAAGGCCAGATCTAGCTGCATTTGGTCATCAACGATGGCCAAAGATATGGCCGTTATTGACGACTAGCTACGGCCAAAGACGGCCAGATCTTTGGTCATAGATCTGATCGAAAAAGGCTATATCGATGTACTACCAGCCAGATCCAACCGATAGTACGCCATTATACTAGATTCCGACCACCTTCCGATGGTGGTGGCTGGAATCTGACAAATGTGGGTGGTGGGGGTGTTTTTGTCAGTTTTTAAACTTTTTTGGGGGGGTGTTTAGTTAAATTAACAAATTTAGGAGATTTAAATTAATTGAATAAAATATAATAGTATTTTCAGAATGGGAAAATAAATGTGTATTTTAAAAATGATAAGAATATAATAGGGGCAAAAATAAGGAAACAAATGCATAAAATATTTTAAGCTTTGCAATTGTAGCCGATCGAGCAATTTTCTGTAACTTGAAATTTTCTAAATTTCATTGTTAATGGCTTACTGATGCAAAGAGTTATCTTCGTAGATATGTATATTACAATGTTTGGAATCCTGAAAAAAAAATATTTTCACATTGATATAATTATTATTTATTTTCAATCAATAATCTCTGCTACTGTAATTTAAGATATAGTTTTAAACTTTATAAACCATAATATTGTATATATTATGTTTATATATTTCGATTTGCATCACATATAATATTGCTTTAAATAAATAGCATGGTTAAGCAATTCTAATATAAAAGGGGTAGAAATAATTGTTTTTAATTTAGTAAAAGAACTTTTAATTTAAGTCAATAATTATTCATTTCATAAATTACTTTTCTATATAAATTTATATAAATAGAATTCATTTGGAGAGGTGGTGGATTTGACATTTCACTTCAACTATTTTCGTAGCCAAACGCAAGGGCAAGGCAGGTGGCAGTCACAGCGTGTCAACTTGGACGAGATGTGTCCACGTCAGAATTGTAAATTAATGTGATATTTTTGACGTGGCAAGATCTGGATGGAGTATGTTTTGTTCTAACTGTGTTGGTGAGTATTAATTAAGCGTGTTGAAAACATTAATTGTTTCATAGTTCATGCAAGTTGTGTGGCTGTAAAGCTGAAAGTTGTCTTACACTTTTGTAGCCGTCACCTCGAGGGTTTAACTCATAATAACCCAAAGTATGAAATACAATTGGTAACATGATCTCCTGATTTAAATTAAATAATAAAAAAATTCACTGTTTTTTTTCTTTTTCGTTTACAACAGGAGATTTTCCGCCAGTTTATCCATACCAACTTCGCTCATTTCTGTCGGCCGTGAGTGTTTTAGTAACTATCAAATTCTGATTATCTTTATTAATAATTAAAGAAATTAAACTCAAAACCTCTTGAACATATATTTAAGAGTTTTTTATCGATCATTTACTATAATATGTTTTTTACAATAAAAATTCTCTTTATATTTATTTTAGATTTTAAATTATGATAAAAAATATTTAGTAATATTTACAATTATATAGTAAAATTCTATCAATCATAGCGAAAAGATTTTTTGTTAGGTTAGAAACTCTCAGATTTTTGTTACTTTATTGTACCTGAGAGGTCTACGTTTAACCCTATAAATTAAAATATTAATATAAACTATTACTTAATGGGGATAATAATGGGATAATAAAATAGACATACTACATGAATTTTGAGTAATCCTATTGCCCCTAATCTATTTTGATAAACCTCGTTTTAAATTCACACCATTAAAATTTTTAAATATATCAAAATGTCTAAATAAACATCATGCATATATAATAACCCTTGCCTTTATATTTTTATTACTCATTTTATATTTTCTCATTTTAGTTTTTATATATTTACTTTTTAATATAATATAATATTTGATTAACTTAACATACATCAAGCATATAACAATTGTACACATTAGCATCACACGTGTTTTTTATTTAAAAAAAAAAAGGATAAAGAATACTAACTTATTGTAGACGGTAAAAATTTGAGACAAGCCTTAGTATTGGGAGAATCCACTAGTTAGTTGTCGGGTTGGTTCAATAGGTTGGCCCATAACATAGATACTTAGTGTGCTCAATCAAAATTGGGCCATAGTATTGAGCCGCATATAAATGTTTTTATGTCTGGGTCCGACAAAGCTCAAGATTTGTTTTTTGCTCATACAGTTTAAAATTATGTAAATGTGCAAATCAATTGAAAGTTAAAACAATAAAATATGATAAATAAACCTATTATATCAAACTCATTTCATCTTGATTATATCAAGAATAAAATTAGGGTTTATGTGTAGAAAAGAAATAAAATACTATTGACTTTATTTAATAATACTATTGTAATATGGATTATGTATATAATACTATTGAATCTTATTAATATTTTCATAAAGGTAAACTAGAATTGTGAGAAATAGTAATTGGTCACGAAAATAAAGGGCAATGCATAATCTAAATTATATTAAAAAATTGTATACAGGATTTTATTTTAACTCTTAAATTCCAAGATTAATAATATGACATATAGAAATATATTATTCGATAAGCATTAAAAACATGTTAGCAATCATTTATTTGTTAAAAATAGGATATTTAATCCCATAAATCTCCTGGATCATTTGAGAGTAAATTCAAATTTAAGCGAAGTTTCTCCGAATATTTTATTTGGTTGCCATTTTCCCAACTCATAGGACAATCGCCTTGATTTAAGAATCATTATCAAGTAAAACCATTATCTCAATAATTTAATTAGGTAAGTTTATGATTTGTTTTTAATCATTAAATTAAATAGAAATAATAAACAATACTATAATTTGATTTATTTTAAAAATTTGTGTCTTCTAGCTATATATTAAAAGCCCAATAGGTTTAGTGGTTAAAAAGATTTGCTTCCTTCATTACTCTTGGGTTCAACCTAACCTAGAAGTCCCTATTATATTTGTAGCTTATCTTAGAACATAATCTTTTAGGGTATTCAAAAAAACCCCGAAGACTAATCAGGTGTATATAAGCTACCTCAGATACCCTAGTTAATAAAAAAAAAAAAAATGTGGCTTACCTAGAACATTGGACTTATAGGTTGTTCAACGGACTTTAGGGACTAATCAATGTATGTGAAAGCTGACCCAGATATCTCGGTTATAAAAAAAATTTATGCTAAAAATTATATGATTGACTCTAAGAGTTTAACAATCACTGTATATTAATTTAACAATGAATAATGTTATAGTTAACGAAAAAAATACACCGAATTCACGCATTGACATACGCGACATCTCTTCCTTTCTTAAAAAAAAAAAAAATTATAATTATAGACGATCAGATAGTGCCACGTCTGTTAGTGCATGAATTCGTTTTTTTTTTCGATAACTATCTCATTTTCTTAAAGTACATTTGAAATTTGTACCAAAGATTCAAAATAGTGAATCTTAATTAATATAATAACTGTGTAGGTGAAATTATAACTTACCAAATAACTGCTATGCAATAAGACATTGATGGAGTATGGGACCCTAATTACTAGTCAATGAATCATATGCAAAGACTAAAGGATTCTTTATGACGGCATGGAATTTCTAAATCAAGTCGTTGGAATTATATTGGGTCAATATCATTTCTGGTATTAGGCTCAACTTGGATTTTGGTATGACTGACTATATGTTGAAGGCATTGAGATAAGATTCATTTTGGTCTTTGGAATTATTTAGTGTCTTACTTATATGTTTTATTTATCTACTATAATTTGGTTGGGGGTTCTTTCAATTTTTTTTTTTTAGTATTAACTTATCCACTTGTTAAAAAAATATTAAAAACCTCCCTGTAATTATCAAAACCTCCCTAAATAAATATCATAAACCCTCTTTAAATAGGGTTATTATCAACCAGATGACTTTTTATCAAAAGCTTATATTATAGGACACAAATATTAAATAACAATGAGAAGATAATTAACAGGGTAAAACCGTTAACTTTGTTTGAAATATTATGTGTTAGTGATTTTTTTTTTTTTTTTTATAAACAATCATCAAAAATTAAAAAAAAAGTAATATATTAATTATACAAATTAAAATATAAAGCAATATATAGTTAAAAAAAATTAAAACTAAAAATAAAGTAAGTCTTAAAAATCATTTCCTTACTTTTTTTGCAAATTTTTTCTATTTTCTTTCTACAGATATGTCGTCATTTATTTTATTTTGACTATGCCATTTTTTTTTAACTTGTGCCCCATTTTTTTTAACTTATTGTGTGTCTAAAAAAAAAATTATTTTATATGAAAGTATTTACACATAAAATTATCTTAACACCCTTGATAAAGTTAAAAGTTAATGGTTTCGTTCAAGAAATATCCCTAATTATCAAAACCCTCCCTTAAAAATATAAACACCTCTTACAAAATTATTTAAACTTTTTAAACAAAGTGATGAGCTAATAGCCTAATACTAAACCGATTTCATGGGAAGAAAAAAGACAAAAAAAAAAAAAAATCCTTTGGCTTTTATAGTACATGATGAACTGCTTCTTTACGCCTTAAACCGTGGAGAAGGTTCTTTTCCCCCCCCCCCCAGCTTACCTTAGAAAAAAAGAAAGAAATAATATGGAAAGTAACTTGTCATCCGCCTAACTAATTCAAATTTAAAAAAGCATGTCCACGACAGCTCTAACTGGAAGTCCACGTCATCATAAATGGTCTTCTTTTTCCAACCATATTTTCCAAGAAAGTTTCATGCATTCAAGCAATCAGATCATTTTCTTTATCACACTTCACAAGTAAACTTTTCCTCTCTCACCGCCATTAAATCAAACTAATCAAAATACTTGAAAGATTTCACCTTCTTTTAGCTCCTCATATCATGCTTTAAAGGGCCATGGATGGTTTAAAGAAGCTTGGAGCCGTACTCACTATAGTGTTTTTAGTCTCTCTTCTGGCTTTATTGGCCGAGCTTTTTTATGTTTTGTGGCGGAAGCAAGCTTTCCGCCGACGGAGCAGCCCGGAAATTCCTCCGGGAGACCCGTTTTACAATCTCACGTCATCGAAGGAGCAGCTGCTGTACTTCTTCTGCTTGAAGAACCAGTCCCGGATCGAACCCGCAGGGAACCCAACCGCTCCGGAGGCGCAGGAGGCTGAGGCAGTGGTGGTGGCTGTTGACGATGATGACGTGGTGAAGTGGCAGCTGGGGATGTACGGACCGTCGAGGGGTTTGTTCACTATTAGAGAAGAAGAGAGAGAAGGAACCGAGACGTCCGAGGCTGAGAATGATCAGAGTGTGAAGAGCAAAACGGTGCGTTTTGAGGGTGAGAGTGATTGTGGGGTTGTAAAAATTGAAGATATCGTTAATGGTGAAGAAACCACGCCGTTTTCGACGCCGTGTGCTTCGCCTCCGTACTACACACCTTCGCCGTCTCCCACTCACGATAAGTACTCGCCGGGAAACGACGAGTCATTTGTTAGTGTAGCAGTTTGTAGTAGCGAGTAGAAAGTAGAATTATCTTAGCTGGCTGTCCAAAAAATTGTCACTAGATACGCGGGGATTTTCTTTTCCAAATTTCAATTGCTCTTGTTTTTGGAAAGAATCAAAGAAAATCCGCACTGAACTGTTAATGACAATCATGAAGAAATTAGAAATCCATTAGAGTTTTTATAAAATTGAACATATTTATAATTAAATTCTAGTTTGTTTGATTAATCGCCGGAGAGAATGGCGGCTCACCGGCCGTGGATGATACCGTGAACGCTGGAGCGAAGAGGGAGACTGCTGGTCGTCCGTGGGTGAGACTTGGGAAGAGATGCAAAGTCAGCATCAGGAAGCCAAATTGATATTTTCTTAGTAATTCAATAAAAAAATTTATAAAGACTGGTTTAGTTTAATATTTCATAAAAATATGGTCAACCTTTAAAAAACAAATTGGTTAGATAAAGAATTTGATCAACATGGATAACGTTTAATACTTTATAAAAATTATAATTTTTACTATCATAATATTTAATTTATTATGTTGAAATTTTAAGTTTTACACACTAAATTGTTTTATGTTACAAATTTAAAGTTAATTCAACGTTATATTACAATGTTTGGAATCCCCAAAAAAAATATTTTTACATTGATTAATTATTTATTTATTTTAAATCAGATAATAACTGCTAGTGTAATTTAAAGTAGTATTAAACTTTATAAACCATAATATGTATATATTATGTTTATATATTTCGATTTGCATCACATAAATATTGCTTTAAAATAAATAGCATAGGTTAGCAATTCTAATATAAAAAGGGGTAGAAATAATTGTTTTTAATTTTAGTAAAAGAACTTTTAAGTCAATAAATATCATTTCATAAATTACATTTTCTATTATAATTTATATAAAATGAATTCTAATTTGGAGATGGTGATGGATTTGACAGGTTTCACTTCCAACTATTTTCGTAGGCCAAACGCAAGGGCAAGGCAGGTGGCAGTCAACACGTGTCAACTTAGACTGAGATGTTGCCACGTCAGAATATGATAATTAATGTGATATTATGACGTGGCAAGATCGGGATGGAGTATTTTTTGTTCTAACTGTGTTGGTGAGTATTAATTAAGGCGTTGGTGAAAACATTAAATTGTTTCATAGTTCATGCAAGTTGTGTGGCTGTAAAGCTGAAAGTTGTCTTTCACTTTTGTAGCCGTCAACTCGGAGGTGTTAACTCAAATTAATACCCAGAGTATGAATACAATTGGGTTAACATGAATCTCCTGATTATATTAAATAATAAAAAAATTCACCCTTTTTTTTGCTTTTTCGTTTACAACGGAGATTTTCCGCCAGCTTACCCAAGCGCCAAGCTTCACTCCTTTCTATGGGCCAGTTAAGAGTTTTAGTAAATAACTAAATATTCTAATTCCCTATTAGCATGATTACTTTATCAGTAAAAAAGAGATAGGGCTTAATCTCAAACCTCTCTAATAATACATTTAAGAATCTTTATCGAGCCATTTAATTATGATAGTTATTTTTCACATTTTAAAACAATAAAAATTCTCCTTATTATTATGTTTTAGATTTTAATTAATAAAAAAAAAATAATTTAGTAATATAGTATAAATTCTATCAGATCATCAGCGAAAAGACTTTTTGTTAGGTTAGCACTCATCAAGATTTTTGTTACTTTATTGTACCTGAGAGGTCTATGTTTAACCCTATAATTAAAATATTAATATAACTATTAACTCAATAATGGGAATAAATAATGGGATAAAAAATAGCATCACTCGTGTTTTTTTATTTAAAAAAAAAAAAGGATAAGAATAACAACTTATTGTAGACGGTAAAAATTTGAGGCAAGGCTTAGTATTGGAAATCCAACTATTTAGTTGTCGGGTTGGTTCAATAGGTTGGCCCATAACATAGATCCTTAGCGTAGGCTCAATCAAAATTGGGCTACAGTATTGAGCCGCATAATAAATGTTTTTTGTCTGGGTCTACAAAGCTCAAGGTTTTTTTGCTCATACACTTATAAATTATGTAAATGTGCAAATCAATTGAAGTTAAAAACAATAAAATATGATAAAATAAACCTATTAATCAAACTCATTTCATCTTGATTATCTCAAGAATAAAATTAGGGTTTATGTGTAGAAAAGAAAATAGAAAATTAATTCATACAAAATTTATGTTAAATGGATTATGTATATATACTGTTTGATGCGTATTTTGGCACCAACGAATTGTCACGTGCGAACGTTGATGTAAGAAACCGTGATAATTAATATACAGTGAAATAAATGTAAAGAGAGTTTTTAAGTGGTTCGGATGCTAAGGTAGCAGTCCTACGTCCACTGATTTGTATTGATATTATGTGGGTCAGGTCGCAAAAGCGGACTGACTTACAGAAGAGTTGGAAAAGTAAATTGTTTACAGAGGAGAGAGAGAGAGTTTCTCAATGTAAAAATGGCCGAATCCCTTAATGAAGGGTCTTCTTCATTTTATATCAAACTGAAGCGTGTAATCATCATTAATCCATAGGTTGGTGTGACTGTCAGGATATAATCCGGCTTTATGTCCCATTGCTCTCTTCCCAAGCTGACTTCGCACGATTTATTGTAGGGAAATGGACGCGTGTGAGCTCCATATTATTTGGCAGGCCTGACGTGTGCGTGTTGCTCTGACGGGAGCAGGTCATCCTTCACGTGACTTTCCCACGTCAGTCCTTTATTTTCCCAGGCATAAAAAAGCCCCTATTTTTAAGGTTTGAGGATCGAACCTTGGAAACTAATCACACTGAGATTTTGGTCGCTCCGACCTGAATGGGTGAGCTCGGCACAGGACTCTTGGCGAACACGATCTCGCGCGATTCCTTGCCTAAACGACCTGACTCTTTGTCCTAGCGACCTGGGTCTGATGGACGCTCCTTTCCGTACCTTAGAGAATCAATGAACCTGGTCCTGCGCTGTCAGGCGCTCTGCACGCGTTAAAGCATTTGTCAGACACATTAATCATCGTGTGCTGACCTGACGCCGTTTTGACAGCATTAGTTGCGCAGCGCATTCGAAACGACGACTCTTATCACGGCATTTAATGTAACGTGGGGCGCATTTAATGCGGAAGAGAGAGGGCTGTCATTTCGGTTCCGAGAGGTGGTAACCGTCGATTCGCAATCCATATAAAAACTCGCATTTTTCAGATGAGGTCACCGAGATTTCTTTTTTTTTCGAGTGACAAACCTTAGCAAACCAACCCACTCTTTTCCGATCGGCGCTTCTCAGGCAACTGAAATGAGTTTCGGTCTCGGTTACTCTCCCAAAGTAAGATTCTCTTCTTCTTCTTTTTCTTTGCTTTGCTTGGTTGGGCGATGGCGTTGGGTCTCCTGGTGTTCACCAGAGACATGACGCCGTCATGTGTTCGAGCCGTGGATGGCGGCTTGAGTCACTGTTAGGTTTTAAAATTTGTCCCCTGCCGTCGCACGGACAACACAAGGCCTAAATGACCGTGTCTGTCGATGTTGCAGACTGGAATGGAATCGTTAACATCCAAACCCAGGAAGGAGCCAGCTCATCCTCGCGGGGACTCCCGAGGACGCACCCTCGATGTCTACTCGGTTCTCACCACCGAGGAATATAATAGATAAGAGGCAATTTGACATCCACGCGGAGGTGTTCCTCACCACACTAGGCCGTCACGGCGCCCGACCGATGGCCTTGTCGCGATCTCTGAAGAGATCTTCAAGGGTGGGGGAGGTTCCCTTCCATCCTTTCATCAGGTCGGTCCTGGATCATTTCGGGATCGCACCGATGCAGCTGACGCCAAACAGTACGTCATCGCTGTCGCGATGTACATCGCATGCTGCGAGAGCGGCTTGGGAGACCAACGGCGGTGGAGCTCGGCGTCGCCTACTATCTTAAGAAGAGTAGGGACAAGGACTCGTACTATTTGTCTCGGCGACCTACCATTACCGCGGGGATACACAGCTATCCCAGCAATGCGGGGCCTACGGACAAAGTTCTTCTTTTTCTTTTACCGCTACTGCCGTTTCAGGATCCAAGTAGTTTTCTTTCGCTGGGTTCATTATCTGCTCGCCTGACCCAATAACGACCTGTTTTCTTTTGCAGTTAATAGAACGCCCGAGCAAGCGTTACTCGCCGACCCAGACGGCTTGTCTTTCGGAGTACTGGACAAGGAGAGCCGGACGCGGGAAGCTTGTGACAACCACGAACTTGCGGAAGTACGTTTTTTTCAGCGACAAGGCGTCGTTAGAACCCCCAAAGGTAAGCTATACCGGTTCCTTTCTGGTCGTAGAATAAGTTTGCTTACTAACGACTTAAATACGAAACCATGCCCCCAAAGGAGTCCGGGCAGCCCCGCCGAGCACCATTCATCTTCTCTCGATCGAGGAGAGAGAGGGCCCGAAGCTACCGTCCTATTCCAGCACAGCCGGTGCGAACAGTCGCGCCTCCCCAGCCCCGTCCTATGCAAGAAGTGACCATGACAGAACAGGTCGCTCAGGCACCAACTGTTCGCCCAAAGCGGAAGGCTCCGACCCAGAGGTCGGAAGAGGAAGCAGATTCAGGCCGAAGAGTCAGAGACCGAATCTGAGGAGAGCCTGAGGTCGCGCCAGGAATCTGGAGGTCGGGCAGGAGCCCGCGAGCGAACGGTCGCTGCCGGCAAGGGGAAGGACGCACCTGTGCTAGACTCATTGGGGATGTCTGCCCAATATCTGCAACCGATCGCTGGCCTGCTCGAGTGCGAGCTATCGGGGTCATACGACAGTTTGCTAACACGGGCGACGACCTGATGACCACTCGTTCTAGCATCTGAGCAAGGTAAACGACTGTATTAAAACTTCACTGACTTATCGGTTTTTTCTAACTCATATCTTGTTCGCAGGCGTTGCTTGCGATGAGGATGTCCATGAAAGACGCGGCTGGGGGCCGCAAGGGGACAGCGACCTGAAGGAGACGTCGCGAAGTTGAAGCAGAGCTTGGAGTCCGTCGAAGCAGAAAGAACACAGGCGTTCGAAGCGGCGAACATGTATCTGAACCAAAAGGACGCTGCTTTACGAACTGGACTTCCAAAAGACGGAGCTCGATCGCGTGCGGAGGAATCAAGGAACTTCAAAGGACAACCGCCAGGCTCTCTAAGGAGGTCGGAGAGAAGGACCAGGAGATCCAGGCAACCTTCACACGGGCTCAGCGAG